ATCTGTTAGGCTGTATGCTGTTATAACTCTTGCTTTTCGGTCTTGGTGTAAATTTGTTATGAAGTTTATGCCTTGTTGAGGCATGCCTATTCTTTTACACGCTTGTGCAAGACATTGAATGTTAATTTTATCAAAAGCTTTAGACATGTTCTGGAAACTAATAATATTCTAATAATATTCGTGTTGAATAAACAGAATGGCATTTTTTTAAGGTAGGTTAGTGGTGCTATAAAAATGTTACGGTGATACAATTATTGATCATTTCTGACTCATACCAGGAACGTAGTTTTGCTAGCATAATGGAGGGTATAGTTAACTGCTATCTAGAATAGTATAAACAAAATCTTGCATTTGATTAGATAGTGTGATCATAATGATCATATTCAAAAGAGTAAAAACCAGATTTAGGATATTTTCAATTTTTGAACAATTTATACTAAAATAGTAATAATGGATTGGCTTAGTTGCTTAATCACATGACTGTTGCTCAAGGTGTATAAACATGACTGTGAGGGTGCAAACGAATCTGTTGCTGTAGCCCACTTGCATAATCACAGGAAAATAACTAAGAAATAGGTGTATAAACATTCCTGTGGAGTGTAAACATACCAGTGGTGGTGTAATCACAAGTCAAGCATATGCAATTTGACCTTCTATATTTTATAACAATAGAAGGAGAATTGACTTCCGATTTTTAAAATATTCTAGTCGATAGTTAAAAACAGTAAATTTTGAATAGGTTGATTTTTAGATGAAATAAGACGGATATTTAAATTTAATATAAATATCTAAACTAAAATTCAGACTAAATTCGAAGGTTGTTTTTTTAATTTTTAAAATTTGGTCTAAATTTATATCTCAAATTTAAGATTTAACCTAAAATCAACCTTTGATTTTTAATTGAAATATTGACTTTAGGTCGATTTTTTTGCCCAATCAATGTAAATTCGACCTAAATGTGACTGATATTTAATCCAGTATATAATGATATTCATGGGCCAAAAAGATGCAATTTGACCTCTGATTTGAGGTCAAAGATCTGATTTTTGGTCAAATTCATATCGAATCGGCCAAAAAATTGACCTAAATTAGACCCCAAAATCACCTAAGAATAATAATTAGCCTAAAATCAGTAGCTGATTTTAGGCCGAATAGTTAATTTCAAAATTTATCTAAAATCAGCCCCAAATTTAGGTTGAATTTTATAAATATTCAACCTAAATTCAAGGGCTGATTTTAGATAAACCCGAATTTAGGTTGAATGTTTATAAAATTCAACCTAAATTCAGGGCTGATTTTTGATGAATTTTAAAATTAACTATTCGGCCTAAAATTAGCTACCAATTTTAGGCTAATTATTCTTAGGTGTTTTGGGGTCGAATTTAGGGCAATTTTTTGTGGCCAATTCATTATGAATTCAACCAAAAATTGAAGTCGAATTTAGGTCGATTTTTTGTAGCCAATTCAATATGAATTCAACCAAAAAATCAGATCTTTGACCTCAAATCAGAGGTCAATCTTAAGTTGATTTTAGATCAATTTTTTGGCCCAATTAACATGAAATCGATCTAGATTTTAAAAATCAGCACAAAATAAATTTCTGACTTTTATCAATATTGGAGATGAAATACGGTCGATATTTAATTTAATAGAATCACTATAACAAATTATATATTTTATTAAATATATTTAAAAACAGAAGGAATAGATTAACTATATAATATTTTATTAACATTCAAATTTCTGCATTATTATAATCCATTAAAAGTATTGTTATATAACTAAAACCTTATCACATAAGAGAATATAGGTAGAAAAGTGAATAATAGGAATATTATTAAGAAAAAATAGATAGAATAAATTTTGTAATTTAACTATATTGCATATGAGGGTCTCAGAATTTACAAAATTGATCCTAAAATTATAAGGATTAAAAGAATTAGAGTAACCGCAATATAAGATATGTAATCAATTATTTCAAAGTTAAACATACCAGAGATTCTAAAATTATAAGGATTAAAAGAAATATAAGGTATGTAATCGATTATTTCAAAGTTAAACATACCAGAAAGTCGTAAGCAATTTGATTTATTTTTTTTGTCTCTTCGATCTAGATGTTTTAATAGGTGGAGTAATAGCTCTTTTTTTACTCTTTTTATTTATTTTTTCCTCTTCTTTCTCATCCTCTTCGTCCTCTTCTTCATCTTTGTCCTCTTCTTCTTCACCCTTATTTTCATTTTCATTCTCTTCATTTTCTTTATTTTCTTAATTATCTTCATTTTCTTCTTCATTAACTTCTTCATTTATTGCCCATTCTGGAAGACCTTCAGGTAGCGACGCATTTAATATAAAAGATTTATGTTGTCGTTGTTGTGTTGTATAAACAGGAGCCATGGTAGTGTCAAGAGCATTATGAAGTGATTCACATAACTAAATAAATAAAATTTTTTTATTAATATAAATTTGAATACTGCCAAGTATATTTAAAAAACTATTTAATACA